GAAACTCTGGTGCCATAGTGGGACTCGAGCTACTTAAGTTGGTTAGATGGTGACCATCATATACCAGTTGACCGCCTTTCTCAGTGTGCCTTACATGGCTTCGCTAAGTAAAACTTAGAGGTGGCCAATTGATGACATGGCATAACGGTATGTAACTAACTGGAAGACACGGTCAGGTCGGTACGTGACGACTTTATGGGTTGGGGCCTAGTGATAGACCACATAAGTAGCCGGAGACGCAATCAAACATGACATAGTAGCGCAGTCAGTGGCGTTTTTTACATTCAGATCTTCGTATTTAGCTGTCAATGTTGCATCATGAATAGCTTTACCCATATTTTTCATAACTTATTCTTTGCATGCTGTTTGCGTTCCACTCCATGTTGTCTCCAGGTTAATTACTTTTATCCTAGCGACGTGAACCATGATAACCTAACCTATTACATTACGGCGGCCGGAGCAGCTATTTAACTTAATTGGACTGTAACTAATATTTCAGTCAGCTATCCATAGAGATCGTATAAAAGCAGCTCAACAATCATGGACAAAGTGAAAACACTGCGTAGAGTTGACACAACAACTGTGTATCGAGGAGATCAATATTTATCATGTTTAACCACACATGCCAGAGATGCAATGCTCATTTTTTGATGAGAAATCCGGAGGCAACAAGTCGGGTTTCAGTAGCGCACCACATTGTGCTACAACTCGTCATTTGTTAAACTCGATCAGCCTATAACCGCCAGGTCAAATTTTCCGCATAGTTGATAATGATATATGACGAAGTGCAGAGTTCATTAATAGCGCGGCCTCAAGGTTGTCGAGGGATGACATGGTAAACACTATAGAGTAATTGAGTGGTAAGCTGGGTTGCGCCGACTCGTGCAGCCATCTTGGATGGCAGCCACGAGATAGACCATGTCGATTATGGAAATCCAAACAAAAACTGAATTAAAAATCACTGTAACGCTTTAGAATTTGGTTTCTTAACATCAGATGTTATGCTTGCATCACGTACACCATTACAGAGTAGCTGAAGGTGGAAATACCCTTTAACTTTTGTGTCGTAATACTAAAAGATTTATAGAAAAGTGAGATACTAAACATTAAAAAAACAAAAGCTGGTAACACTGTATTAACATATTATGCTTCAAGAGTGAGATCGTGGTTGGAAGAAGGAGATAAGCAGGATGATGAGGGACAAAGAATCTCATAACGCGTACGCCATTGAGGTCGGCCTTTTGCCATGTCAACCAGTGTATCCAAGCAGACATGTTCATCGTCCTTCGGTCCCCAACCTGGCAGTCGGGAGACACCGACCGACGCCAACTTCGAAGTGAGGGCCTTCAAACCTCGTGACCAAGTCAGCGCGTTGCCTTCCCTTATTTTCTTCCATCCACAGCTAAGGCGCGCAAACGGACGTCGCGGGAGTCGGCGTGCCAGCATGCGATTGAAATAAAGGTGCTAAGCGGTTCACTCGTCCTTTCTGCACCAAATACACGCCCATTGCTCACGCGGTGCTCCCAACAGACATGAGCTAAGCGGCGAAGGCAGCGATGATCAAACATAACTAGCCGCTTTATGCATGTCGATGTGACAGGCCAGGTTTCGCTACCGTACATGAGGGCTGAACAGATGGCAGTATTGCAAATTCTTCCACTCAAGGCGAGAGTGATGTCGCGTCGACGCCACAGATGTCGGAGATTGGCAAAACCACCTCGGGCTTTTACGGTTTTCGATCTCCTTCTATTCCACCGGCACTTGTGCTGTTGCCAAGTTACTTAAATTTCAGGACGACTTCGAGGTGATTACTACACAGGGTCAACCAATCATGGAGGACTTTGTATTTCGAGGGTGCAAATCAAAGCAAGAGACGACTGACAGATAGTGTGAATTTGTCCAGTGCTGCTTGGTACATTTGGGAGTTGTTACAGATTAGGACAATGACGTCAGCATACTCCAAGTCAAGAAGTCGCTCACCCGGAAGTAGCTCCAGACATTTTAGGTAGTGTCTAGTGAATGCCATTCCATGACTTTGTCGATGGCGAAGTAAAAGAGGAAAGGTGATGCGGGCATCTATGTCTCACATCGCTAGATATCACAGGGCGGCGACAGCTTGCTATAAAACCTCACTCAGCCCCAACTATGGGCGTACAGCACTCTAATGCTGTTCACCTATTTCTGGGGACACCTTTCCTGAGTAGACAGTCCCAAAGGGTACATCCGATCAACCGAGTCGAAGGCACCTTTGATGTCGATGAACACGACTACGGTGGCTTGCCGATAAATAAGGCGGTTCCAAAAACTGACTCAATGTAAAGATGTGAACAATACAGCCACGACTTCGATGAAACCCGGCTTGCTTCTAACTAATCTGGCTTTCACAAGTGCCTGCAAGTCTATGAAGAACGAAAGAGGCGAGTACCTTAGAAGCAATTGAGACCAGGCTGATGCCTTGATGACTGCGGCATTCGGAACGTCAGCCCCTTTGAAAATTAGGACTATAACAGTTCCAGCCTACTGGGACAGTTTCCTGACCCCCCAGCTTCACAAGTAGGTTGTGTAGATCATCCAGTCTGATCTCACTATTGGTTTCTGCGCGTAAAGACCAATGGATAAGTGCGATCATTGGCCGACCGAGAAGCTGGTGAATATGGCTGAGTAAGCTGCTTTCCAAGGTGTTCGGCCCAACGCACCAAGTGTTGTAAGACTGTGGATTGGTCTTGCACCCTTGTCACGTGTGGTCTCGCTAACACCAGGGCTCCTGTCAGTTTCAAACAGAAAACTGACGATGGTTACCAAGAGCAGTGGCCATGTTCATCTTCGATGCACGATAAGACCACCAGGCTTGGTGGTTACTCTTCAGGCTAGCATGCGATTTCGCCCTGAGGTTTTTGCGAACCTCGTGTTCGCTCCCAGCCGGAATGTGACGGCGAGCATACAAAAGTGCCAAAAACTGCATAGAGACCCAATGTCCAGTTTGGCAACGTGATTTGCCACGTGAAGTGCCTGTTGCTAATAACATCTCGTGGACATTAGCCAGTGGCTCTCTTCTATATTTAGAGAGCGCTTACTCAAGTCGGATGCCAGTGTACTTTGATACGCAAGCATTTATATGCTAACAACACCGCCGCATGCGCCCACTGAAGGGAACTGTAAGATCAACACAAACGAGTGTGTGGACAGAGTCCACGCCCGTGCTCCAAATCGAGTGACAGTTTTGAACACAGCCACTCCAGCGGTAACTGATCGCGATGCGATCGATTTGTGTCCATAGATTGTCCGAGGCTAGTGGGCGCTATGTCACCCTTTGGAGGATATTGTGTTGGTAGTACTCGCTAGAAATAAACGAGCATTTGCACACAGGTGCAGCAACCGTACACCGTTATAATTACGAGAGCCTACACGGTGTTGACCGCCCAAATGCAGCTCAGCAGAGGAGAGTTTCCCAACTTGGGCATTCAGATCACTAGCCAGCACCACAGTGTCCGTACCTATCCCGTAATGAAGCACATCGGTAAGCCGATGATAGATATCATCTTTCACTGAATCAGTGATACGTTTTGTGGGGGTATAGACTGCAATGACAAACTGGCACCATTTGTCTGCGTGCGAGCTAGAAGCTTTGAATGAGCCAGCCAATCTAACGGCGCACATCCGGCTGTTGATTTGGCTCTATTGAACCAGGGCAGTTTCAGCTAGGGGACTCAGAGCAATTCTCACACCAGATTGACGAGTATTCGAAGCTGCGTTATCTCCAGACATAGGCAACGAGAAACTGCCGACAGTGCCGCTTGTGGCGGTCACTGGGTAATCATGGAACTCGCATACTGCAGGCGAGTTTCGATAATTTGCAGATACCGATCTACAGGGTCTCTGCTGTTCGGGCACGTGTTGCCTGTTGGTCAAGCTGCAATAAAGCGCGTACGTTGAGACACGCTAGTCGTAGTGAGGATCGGATGAATTGACGTTTTCTGGTTGATTGAACATGGACTTGTCGATTGGACGGGAGCAACGCCCTACGATTGCGTGAGCCGGAACCAGAAGACAAGCGACCATTGAAGCAAGAGGGAAGAGGGCCGAGAATTTGGGTTGAAAACAGTGGGATGAAAGTGAAGTTGGAGCTGAACGATGAGGATGAAAATGCGCATGATAGGAATAAGAAGACGGGAAGGCTTGAGCAGTAGTATACTTACTCTTATCCGCCCTGCTCGATGCAGATGCGGCGCCGTTGCTTATCCTCTGCGACGGCCAGAGCATCAAGAAATCGTTAGAAGGGAAACTCATTTTATTGCGTGAGCCGGATACTGTCAGGTTTCTCAAACCTAGACAGAGGAACGATTAGGGTTCTCAACCAGAGCCTTCGGTTCGAAATCATGACCGCAAGGCAGCGGAGTTCGGGCAATGGGTTACAAAGCCTGTTTTATCGAGTAAGGAACCACCCTCACTCCAATTTGGAGGGCCACTAACCAATGATCAATCTGATATGAGGGGCCCCGAAGGTACAAATGGCACCGCTCAGCATAGCTCAATGGATCGCTGAGGCACGCAAACCATCGCACCAAGTTAAGGTCTGGTCTCGTCGTGATGGTATTACTTAGTCCGAAGAGTCTAATCCGTTTTAACCCCTTTCTGATGACGCACATTGTAAGTTCTACTCTTGTGGTGAAGCTAAAGTAGGTCACCTCATATAGGGAAATTGGTGAACCAATCAAGTTTATTGGAATGATATAAGCGGGTAACAATTTAAACTGAAGAGATATTAAATAAGTTGAGCGACATTTTTCTTACTAGATACCTAACTTGCACAAATATTTAGAAACGAATGAGACTGGAGTGGGGCATTCCGGACGTGCTGTAGCAAATAAAAAAGGACTGGACACATGTTATGAAGCGGAATACCGAATGGAATAAGCATCATGAGAGGAGAAAGGCAATGCTGAACTGATCAAGAATGTTAGGAAGTTTGTAAAACAGAACAGTGCGAAGAAGAGACTAACCTCAACGGTTTCGAGTGGGTCGAATTGCTTCATGTATGTTGCAAAAGAACTGTTAAAGACTGCCCTGGAGAAACCAACTCCTGACCGATCCCATGGCATCGGGAGATGAGAAGTGAGTGCACTGTCCCTTTCGGATAGGTTTGGGAAGGGCGATTTTCCTTTTGGGTAAAAGTCTGTTGGCGGAACCGTAACCGGCCGCAGTTGTATCAACAATTCAGATCCGTAGTATAAGACCGTGGTACCTGGGAAAAATCAGAAGAACAAAGCAACCGTTCAGGGAAAATTATAAATGTATTAGACAAAGCAAGTGTAAGCTAAAGATGGTGCTGTGGGTACATCTAGAGTCAAGATGAGATCGATAGTATACATCATTCTTCTTCCACCGAGCCAAATACGGACAAATGTACGAGCAGAGCCGTAGCGAAAATGAAACAGCATCAAATGGAACATAAACTAGGTGGTATTTCGTGAAGTAACTAAAACAAAGCAATATCTCGGAAAAGAAGTGAATTATTGTAGAGGCTTGGCGGAAGACATACATATAGTCAAAAATGAATAAAAATGCAGAAAATGAGCATTCAAAGGTATGGTGAGAACGACTGATCCAAAAAACATGGCTGTTAGTGGTGATGCGGTTCAAACATCTGGCTTGTAACCAACAGGAGACTGGTTTGAAGCTGTGTAAGGTAATGTGGAAAAAAATAATGTATCAGCTGTACGCCGTAATGGTGCTTCGCTGCCGCGCGATTACTACCAGTCGCGCGCGCGTTGAGTATACAGCGAGGACGTCCATTCCTATGTGGGGGGCGGGCAACCTAGTAACACCTCAACCAGTATGCAACCACCAGTAATTAAGTGGCAGTGGTAGTGGTAGATACGAAAGTCCCGGTGACTTGCTGCTGTTTTTCTCTATCACTAGCGGAAAATAGAGTTGAATATAACTGACAAATCGTGAAAAAACACTTGTAAAACGCACCGGGTAACAGAAAGGTTGCAGCAAGTGCGATGGCGTCATCGTGGCGCTGATCGCTGGGAGATGCGGTCACAAAAGCCAAAGACGAATTTGCACGGTGCAAAACGCCATCGTACATAGATAGTGAATAGTTCACATAAACATCTGAGAGGATCGTTTTCCTAGGAAGGATGGAAACAGAAATAAAGGCCTACCATCCGCGATCTTTCACAAAATGCCGACTGATTACTAAATGTGCTCCGGGTGATTCCGCATCACCAAGAAACGCTACAGAATCATCACCAAAGTGTATTCCATAGCCGCAGTTGCCAGCATCAACGGCAAGCAGCCTAAGGAGTAATTAATTTGAAAACGAAAAACCAACCTGGGTTTACCAGATCTAGAAGATATTTGGTCCACAACTTGTCGAATTTTGCGAACAAATTGAATGCTTCCATCAGTAAAAAGTTGTTTATAAGGGTAATTAGTGAACCATTTGTTAGCCTCACCGGACTAAGAAATGATGAACAATGAGGGCTGAACATACTTTGGCTCCAGCAAGGATACTAAGAGTCGCGTTGGCATCTTCAACATAAAAGGAGGCGCTCGTAAGCATGATGCCATCTGCACCTTCTTTCAGCCAAAAATCCACTACTTTCTGAAGAAATAAACATGAGGGAAAAGCGCACCTTGAGTCGTTCAACAACTTCTGCCGAAGTTAAATCCAAGTCGACCGAATGTTCGTCGCCAACAGAATAATAGTCAACGCCTCCAATGTTGACGGACGGAGCTGATCCGGAGCGGGAATACTGTAGATAAGTGAGCAGAGCAAAAGAAATTACCAGATTATTTGATACCGGTTTCTGCAAAAGAGAGGATTGCTTCGTCCACGGATGTGAAACAGAAATAGCATTAAAATCCAGGGAAACGACAACTTCGAGGCCGTTTCTGTGACAGGACTTGATCATGGAGCGAAAATCCTCCAGTGTCCCTAGAGCAGTATCTATCTTCCAAAAATCATCAACCAGGCCAAGAGTTTTCTGCTCGTTCGTGAACTGTCCAGAGACAAAAGAGTCAAGAATAATGAATCCGGCTCCGACAGTATCTTTAATGTAGTCCATTCTACTAGTGAGACCTGAGAGATTATAATGCAAAAGGTTTAAGTACCTTTTAGATCACCAATCAAGTCACGTCCGGAGTCCACAAAAGCGAATGGATCAACCCAGTACCCAACTTTTGACTGCCAGAAAGACAGCTTTGGAACGGGAGGACAACTCGGAGTGAGAATGATCACGGTTATAGAAGCAGCTAATAAACCGATCCACAGAATCCAAAACACTGCAAGCAGGATTATGCGAACTCGTCGCCAAACGGGCTCTTCGGCGTCTAAACGAATTAAGTCTTCCCGTGTTAATAGACATCCATAAGCCCTTTTGTTGCTGACATTTTTATCAAGGAAAGGTTTTTCCTCTGAGTGAAACTTTACATCATCATCACCATTTGCCTTGTCCAAGTCACATCCAACCATAGTGGAATGCAGAATAACGGTTGTCTAATATGCGTCCGGTCGGGGATTCGTGGACTTCCCTGTATGATGTACAAGTGGATCGTAACAGATCTGGGGGCTGCAACGCAAAACAAATACCTCGTGGTCGGTAGGAACGAGTTACAACAAACAACTAGTAAGAGACAAAAGGTAAAATCAGATGTGGCTGGCTGTCATCTCGTAAGAAGCTGGATAGGGTTGCTACGGCTACCGCGAGTACCACGTCTGAGTTGCATAGATGATGAGAGCAGTGACGGGTGACGGCTGATCTCAAAGTAATGTAAACAGAATGGGAAAGGAAAAAAGAAAAAAAAATCGGTGGTCATCTAAGCGAGGTTACACGAGTGTTCCAAGGGCAACGATCCAGCCTCAGGGGCTGCCGCCGAGAACTGGCAGGGTTGTCAAATATGTGAGATGCGTCCGGTCGAGGATTTCAAGGGCTTCTGTGTCCCATGTATACGTGGGTCATAATAGACCTGGAGAGTTGTAATACAAAACAAATACCTCGCAGGTGACCGGATGAGCATATTCCAACCAAGTATATATCAGGTTAGGTTCCAAGGGCGAAATAAGCTCCGGCTTAACGAGCGGCCTGTTTCTTGTACCGGCAGGCAAACAAAGGTCTCCGGTGCTTCGACTTTTGGGTAATTTCCGTTGCTTCTGCAAACGAAGTGAAGCAAGAACAAGAGCAACTTCTGTACTTCCACGTATCATAGATTACGACGTCTGAGAATTGTCAATAAAATTACAAGAATGCTAGAAAAGGATACAAATCAACAATCATCCAAGCCTTATTAAAGACTCCTACAGTGGCATTTCCAACCGAGGCAGAAGGAAGCTTGTTCCAACTATGGACTACATGATTTGCAAAGAATTTGGCCCTAATTTCTAATCTGGACCTCTGATGCTTAAGTCCATGCCCCCGCAGGTGGTCGGAGGCAGTTCAGACCGGTCGGAAGGCCTAATACTAATGATGCCCTTCATTTTTTGTACTCTTCTACCAGGTTGCCTCTCAATCTGCGCCGTTCCATGGAAAACAACCCTAAGCTCCTAAGGTGATCATCACGTGACTTCTCACGCTGGCCCTCAATCAGCCTAGTCAAAAATTTTTGGACTATTTCTATGCAAACATCCTTCCGGGGATATGGAGCTCAAGCCTGTACACAGTATACTAAGTGCGGCAGTACCAGCGCATTATATAAGGGAAAAAACCTCAGGTTTAGTGTTACATAACGCTCAAATGAGACGGAATAGCTCCCGCGGCGTCTTGTTGGCTGCGTGCTGACACTGTGCTGAGGTTCAAAGTTATTCGTTACAATGATATCTGTCAAGGTACTTAGTAAGAGACCACACCAAAGGAAAGTGAAGAGAAAGAAAAGTGGAAGAATCAGTGACCGTCTAACCGAGGTACAACGATCTCCTTACATTAAGGATCGCTACATGGTAACGCTCGGACATGCTACAGACCAAGCACAGCGGTGTAATATGCGTCTGATCGAGAATTCCGAGGGCTTCCGTGTCTGATGTGTAGGTAGGTCGTAACAGATCTGGAGAGCTGCAATGCAAAACAAATACCTCGTAGGTGGCTGGATGCTCATATCACAAGTACCTAGTAGACCACGCTAAACGAGTGAAGGTAAAAAGAAGAGGAAGAATCAACGGCCGTTTGAGCGAAGTGCAATCATCTCCTTACCCTGGGGATCACTGCAAGGTCACGCTCGGACCTGCTATAAAATTGTAGTATGCGTCTGGTTGAGGGTCCCGAGGGTTTCTGGTTCCGAAGCGTAAGTGAACCGTAATAGACCGGGGCTGAAAGCCAAGAGTGATACTTCGTAGGCGGCTGAACAACTACTTAGTAAGAGTCGGAGTTGTATGGAAGGTGTCTGTCAAACATCGTGGCGTACTGGACGGCATCGTCACAGCTGGTGATGGAGGACAGGGCGTGAAAACATGCACGGGAGATGGCTGCTCTAAAGATACTGAAGATGAAATAAGAAGGCGAAGAGGAAACAACACAATTTAAACTACGCTCGATGACATCTTATCTATTGGTTTGCTATAGCGACACTCCGAAGTGCCGTAATATTTCTCCGGTTCGGTATTGCAAGCTCTTACGTGTCCAAATAGTATGACGGGCCGTAATAGACCCTTAGGGCTGAAACAAAATAAATACGTCGTAGACGGCTGGATGCTTAGCCGCCAAATATTATTATTTAATAATAGTATATACGTTAGCAACTGGTGTAACACACCTCAGCTACTATGCCGTAATACATAAAAGAGAATAAATACAACAGTTGCATGCCAGCTGAGCTTCCAGCAACGGATTGGCACCGTTCCGGAAAGCCACCAGCCGACTACTAGGCAACAAAAAATTAGTATGTAAAATTATATTATGCTACGAAAGATCGTGGTTGGAGGGGGAGGGACAAAGAAACTCACAGCAGGAACGCCACTGAGTCGGCTCCTAGCCATGTCAGCAAGTGTATCTAGACAAACGTGTTTATCGTCTTTTGGACCCCAACCAGGGAGCCGTGAAGCCCCAACCGAGGCCAGCTTCGAAGTAAGGGTCTTCATTCCTCTCGACCAAGTCATCGCTTGGCCATTTCTCTTCTCCCATACACAAACCCCAACGCGCAAACGCACTCGCAGGAGTCGGTGGGCTGGCATGGGTAACACATGGCCGATGCATCGGAGCCTGGTGCGTGAAATAAAGGTGCTGAGCAGTTCAGTTCCTTCTCCGGCGCCGGCGCCATAGGTGGCGAACGCTAGCAAAAGCACCTCGAGCTTTTGCTGTACGGTTCGTGATTTCATCTTCGATCCCAAGAACGCTGACACAACTTCCCAGGTAGTTAAATTTCTGAACGACTTCTGGCTGATCCCAACCAAGGGTCAGCACAGGAGGCGAGCCCTGTCAATCTTGGAGGAACGCTCTGCACTTCGATGGTGCAAAGCAAAGCCCGAAGCGGCTGACAGTGCTAATCTGTCCAGTGCAGCTTGGCACGCCTGGGAGCTGTCTGTGACAATATCGCCTGCATACTCCAAGTCAAAAATCGTTCGCCTGGGAGCAGATCCACACTTTCTAAGTCGTGTCTTATAAATACAATCTAAATGACTTAGCAATAGCGAAGTTGAAGAGAAAAGGTGACAGCCGGCATCCTTGTCTCACACCGCTGGAGATACTGTAAGACGGCGACATCTTGCCATAAGACCTCACTCTGCTCATGCTACGCGCGTATAGTGCGCGGATAATACTTACAAATTTCTCGGGCACACATTTCCTGAAGAGACAGTTCCAAAGAGCACATGGATCAACCGAATCGAAGGCACCTTTGATGTGGTAAAACACGACTACGGTGCGATGCCAATGTGTGCCGGTGCTCCAGCAATCGACGCAAAATGAAGATGTGGTCGATGCAGCCACGATCTCGACGAAACCCGGCTGGCTGCTCACGAGCACCCGTCAGTTTGTGAAGGATTACAGAGGCAAATAATTTAGAGGCGATGGGGACCAGAGTGATTCCTCTATGGTTGCCACATTCCGATAGGGACCCTCCTTTGAAGATCGAACCAATAATGGAGCGGCTAGAGTCGGTTGGGACAATTTCCTGTTCATCCAGTTTCACTAGTAAGTCGTGTAAATCATAAATAAGAGCAGGGCCCCCGAACTTGAAGAGGGCTGGATAAAGAACATCTGGTCCCGCGGTTTTGTTTAACTTCAACAGTCCAATCGCACGTTCGACTTCTGAGTGAGGGCAGATCCAACGGGACAACCCAGGGAGCAGGGCGATCACTGGCTGGTGTGGGATCTAACAATTCTGGCCGATTAATATACTTTCCAAAATGCCCAGCCCAACGCACCAAACGTTTTGATAAATTGTGGATAAGCTGTCTACTCTCGTCATAAATTGTTTCACTAACACCAAGTCTCCTGTTGCCAGTTTCCCGGATCAAACGGAATAACTTACAATGGTTACCAAGGACAGCGGTCACTTCTATTTCTGACGCATGATGAGACCACCAGGATTTGCGGTCTCTCTTCAGCATAGCACGGAGCTCTTTGCGAGTTTCATTGTGTTTGCTTCTAGCCAGAATATGCCGGCAAGCATTGATAAGTTCCAGAGGCCGTGAAGAAACCCAATGTCCTTGTTGGCTATTAGACTTACACACGAGGATTTGCCCGCTGCTAGTAAGGTCTGGTGAAGATGCGACCAGTGATCTTCAATTGTTTCTCGTGAGCGCTTACTCGACCCGCACCTCAGCGCATTCAGAACAACTGGCTTTGCCAGCTGACTGATCTCAATGCGCTCACAGCGTCGTCGTGGGCGTCCGCCAAAACGCATCCGCATGTCAGCACATACAAGTGCATGGTCGGTGCCCCCACGTGCTTCGAATCGAGCGATAATTCTGGATGCAGCCTCTCCAGCGGTAACTGATTGCAATGTGATCGATTTGCGTCGAAGACTGGTGGGCGCCAAGTCACCCTCTAGCGAGTGCTGTGTCGGAAGTTGGTGCTCGCAAGAAATATGCGGGCATCTTCACAAATGAAGTAACCGCTCAACGTTATCATTACGGGAGCCTAAACCGTGTTGGCCGCCCAGATGCAGCTCATCAGTGGATAATTTTCCAACTTGAGCGTTCAGATCCCCGGCCAGCATTAGTGTCCGTACTTCTGTGGAGAAGAAGCTCGGCCAGTTAGCGATAAAAGTCATTTTTTACCGAAGCATCGCTAGAGATTGTGGGCGCGTAGGCAGCGATGATGAATAGACACCTGTTAGTCCCGCGCGACTTGGAAGCTTTGAACGAGCCAGTCAATCGGACCGCACACATCCGGCTAGTGATTGGAATCCAATCAACCAGAGCAGCTTCAGCCCGGGGATTCAGGGCAATACCAACACCTGCTTGGCCGGTACTCGAAGCTGCATCGTCACCGGATAGGCGCAATGAGAAAATACTGATGGTGTCACTTGAAAGGGATCGCAGATTGAGCACAGAGCTCGAGTCTTGTAGGCGGGTCTCCGATAAGCAGCAGATATCGATTGAGAGGGTCTCTAATGTTCGGGAGTGCAGCCTGTTGACTGAGCTGTAGCAAGGTGCGTACATTGAGGCATGTCAATGTAAAGGAGGATCGTGGGCTTTAAATGGGAGCTGATAAACTGGGGTAGACTGCTTGGTTGGACAAGGGCTTGTCGACGGGACAGGAGTGACGCTTCGCGTTTACATGTGAGTTGAAGATAAACGCCTAGCAGAGCATGTTGGGGAGGGCCAAGTATGGGGGATTGAAAACTGGGGGGGAGGATGAAAGTGAAGTTGCAACGGGATGATAAGAGTAAAAAAATGTAAGAGGGTAAATAAGAGGACGGAAAGGCTTGAGCAGTAGCATTCAAAGCCCTATCCACATTGCTCGATGCAGCAGATAGGGCACCGTTTATTGTTCTCTGCGACGGCTAGAGCACCAAGAAACGGTTTGGAGAGAAATTCATTGTATTGCGTGGATAGAATACTGTCAGATTGGTCAGGCCTAGACAGGAGAAGTATTAGGGTTCTCAACTAAAGCCTTTGGTTCAAAGACCTGATGGTAAGGCAGCGGGTTTGGTAATGGGCTACAAAGAGTGTTTTAAAGAATAAGGAGCCACCCTCATTCAAACACCCAACGTAGAGGATTAGGAAGCTGTCTGCCTGGTCTCTAACTATGGAGAAATCTAGTATGAGTGGCTCTGAAGGTGCAAAAATGCACAACACAGCATAGCTCAATGGATCTCTGAGGCACGCAAACCATCGCACTATGATAAGGTTCAGCTAACAGGAAGCAAAACTTATCGATGCCTTACCTGTCAACGTGTTACTGTGACGCCCGCGGAGAGGCTACAATATCTCCTCTTTTAGTAAGCGTTGTCCTCAGCGCCGAACGGCCTATACCGGCATCAACCTATGTACCTGCAAGAGGTATTGATGGCGGTATATTAGGCTTGGGAGATTCAACGACAAGCAGCACGATAGCAGAAATGTTAACTATTGCCTCAATGGCTACAAACTAACCTCGTGGACTGCTGTCGTGAACTGGCAGAGTAATCAAATATGTAATATTTCTCTGGTCCGGCGTTCCAAGCTCTTCCGTGTTTACATAGTATGACAGGCCGTAATAGACCCTTAGGGCTGTAACACAAGATAAACATATCGTAGACGGTTGGATGCTCAACCGCCGATGAGTGGGAAGTAGCTAAGGAAGCACGGAAGGAAGAAAAAGAGCCGGAGAGGAATAAGAGGGTAATGCTAACAGGAAGCAAACACTTCTCTACCTCTTGCTTGTAAACGCATCACAATGAAGCCCGCGGACCGGCTACAGTGCTGTAGTGTGCGTTTTGAAGGCTTTTGTGTCAGGGTTGTACCTGAATCGTATTAGACCGAATGCGGCCGAAAGGCAAATATACTTCGCAGGAGGGTGGAAAACCACCTAGTAAGTGTCGGAGCTCGATGGATGGTGTGCTTGCGTCACAACTCGTGGATAGCTGGGCGGTACTGTCACAGCTGCCGATAGAGGACCGAGAGCGAAGCCACTAGATGGATGGCATGAAAGTTTACGACGGCTGGCTAATACAACAACCATGAAGACGAAATGAGAAAGCAAAGAGAAGAGGAAACAACACTCACAATAGAGATACGCTGGACGATAACTTACTTGCTGACTTGCTACTGAGACTGAAGCGCCACGAGGAGCGAAAAAACGAACGATGTTCGAAATTATACAACAGAGGGCAAATGTAAATAATTCATTAAAACATTGCA